TCTGGAAGATCACCGGCTACTTGCCAAGGCCCCCACGACTCTGCTGCCGTCACAACCACCATCACCACCGTTACGAGAAAAACTTGAGACTGATGGCCCCCAAAGCTTGGAAGGAGCTGCGAGACCAAAGAATTGACTCGAACAAGTCCAGCTTGGTGAGTAGGTGAGTTTATTAGGACTTACACACAGATCACTCCTGGGCGGTGGCAGGACAGCTCTAGAGATCTGCGCTTCCTCCCAATGCTAAGCTGCTTTCACACTAATTTTCTGACTGTTCACTTATCGGGTAAGAGTGATGGGAGTGTTTTCATTGATTGGTTCTCAGATACTCTCTGGGAAGTTTGAGTTCTCAGGGACACCTGCTCCTCAGCTGGGGACCGTGGCCATGGCCCACCACCTGCCCTTCAGGGTTCAAGCAGAGGACATACACCCTTTAGTAACCTAGAGGGGACCCATCACACAACAACCACCCCAATAACCATCATCAAGAAGCCACTGGCTGACTGAGACACAGCCCCGGACGGACAAGGGAGAGAGGATGCTGGAAAGACAGAGTGACCATCACCAGGGAAAGACTTCATTCTTGGAAGGACGTCAAACCTGGGGGTGGGTCTGTAGCGGGGCCGCTGTTTCTTCTCCTGTATCCAACAGTTCTAACTCTTTGACTCTGCATTTTCGGTTCTTTTCCTGGCCTTCTCATTGCTGGTTCCTGCACACCTCCCCTCTATTCCTCCCCCAATATATTCTTCAGTCTAAAGTAAACTGCTTCTTCCCATTCCCCGCACTCTCCAGTCCCCTTTCCTTCCTTATTCCTGGCTCCAGTGTTCCTGCCTTCTCCTTGGTGCACTTACCATCTGCATTAACCACTCCCCTGCTGTGCTCAGCTACAGAAATGCCAAAGTCACTAACACTCACTTCCATAAATTATACCTTGCCCTCCTTATGCCCCTAATAAAATGTCTGCATTTTGTCCTGGCCTGTGCCAGGCACACTTTCCCTGGTGGCTGACCTGCTCTGGGGTCACTGGCCTTGGCCCTACTGCAACATCTCATGGATCTTGATGAGAACGTTGAGCTTCCCCTCCAGGTCCTGAGCTTGTTTCTTCAGCTCCTCAGCTAACTCTGACTTTGCCCCCTGAAGCAAGTGCTTTGTCTCATACACAGTGTTGACCACATCCAGCAGAAGCAAGATGGCTCCAGTGGCTGCACCCACGGTCATGGCTCCTCTGCTCATTGCCAGGGCGGGGCCTTCAGCAACCCTCTCAACCTGTTCACCACCTTCAACTGAGATTCGCCCAATGACCTGGGGGGGTGGGCCATATGCTCCTAACTGAGGGTTGACTCTGCCTTGTCTGATGGCACGGATGTCCCTCCCAATGCGTTGTGTGAAGGTGGAATAACTGTCAACTAAGGTAAGAAAGTTGGGTGTGTTCCCACCCACAAACTCCTTCACCACTTTCACTGCATCGGTGCTGCTTTGGTCCAAGCTGCGAGCTTGGTTTCGTGCCCGCAATTGCTTTACTAGTTCCACGACACTGCTGGTAATCCCAGTCACAGCAGATGCTGCTCCTAGACCCGCTCCAGTGCCCATGAGCAAAAGACTGAGTCCTTCAGAGAAGGGTGCTAGACCCAGGCCAAGGAGGCTCAGGGCACCAGAGGTAGTGCTAATAGAGTTGGCCACCACATTGGTAATGGTGGTGCCTCTGTGGACCCGCTGAACCTGGTTTGCGAGGGAACGGAGCATCTTTATGTGATCCTCAAGCTCCTTTTTCAAGCGAGGAAACTCTTTCAAAAACCACTCCCTGTGCTGCTGGTCTTTATCATGGCGGTTTTTGTCCTTCGTGACCATGTGACTTACAAGCTTGTTCAGAGCTTTACGGAGCACATCTGCCTCATTCCTGCACAAAGAAAGGTTAAAGGATTAAGAAATGCAGTTTCCCTGTCTGTGAAATGAGCTCCATGCGATCTTTATCCTGTGTAAAGTGCAGAGCTTTCACTATCAATCAAATAGAAACAAATTTTACAAATGGAAAGAATTTTCTTCCAAACTCAAACATGCTTTGTTCATCATAGATACCCCTCAGTACTTATTCCGTATGGAAATAAATATCCTAAAGTCATCTCAGATGCTCTTTCATGGTAGGTGTTTGATAAAGGTGCCTCCTCACTCAAGGGCAGGTCAACACCGTGACTGCCAAAATGTTTGGAGAGGGGAAAACTCTGCAGATGAACAAAGAACAGTGAGAGTGGGACAAAGACACCTTATTCCCAGGATGGCAGCAAAGTGAAGCATGAACTTTTCCCAAAGAGAGGCCTTCCCTTTGTCCTCAGCTCCTGGGAAGTGATCTCCAGGCTCCTGGAGTGTCCTGCCTGGTAGGAACATCTTTCTTTGTCTGGTGGTTTGGCCACGGGACAGTACAGCAATGTGATGGATGATGGGGTTTGGCGCTATTTGGTGTCTTTCCTGACTTCCAGAGGACCTGGGGACTAAAGGTGTGAGACCTCAGGGAGGGGCTGGAGACTACAGGTCAGTCATGAGGGCAGCTTGTGATCCAACCCCAGCAAATATTCTGGACACTAAGACATGGGTTGAGAAAGACTTTCTGCTTGACCAGCTCCAGCGGGGCGCTTCTGAGCTTCTTCTCCACTAGGCGCCGACCTTGGCCTTCCACACCCACCCACTGCTTGCTGGACTTGCACCGCCCCAGCTCAGCAAGAATCGCTCCAAATCAGTTTAGGGAGGGTCCTCCCTGCTTGCTGTCTGAGCACTCTTTGCTATCTGATCATGCTCCTCACCCCCAAAATTGATGGGTGAGTGTCTGACCTGCCTTTAGCAAGAATCCTGTTAGGCCAGTTTAGCAGGAACCCCCTACTCTGGTGTCTCCTGTCAGAACTGTTCCATCTCCTGCCCCTCACCCTGGTGTTGGCTGTGACTCCCTCTCTGTCTTTACTGTATTTGGAGCTGGGCTCAGTCTCCCTCCCCTGTAACAACCGTCCTAAATAAAGGCTTCCTTCCTGATTTCATGTGATTCACAGGAATGTTTCCTTAACTGGGTGAACTTCCCTGGTTGGCAACATCCTGTGTGTCTTGTCCCACATTGACACAAGATATCACAGCGTCCTGAGGACAATGAAGCTTCACACCTGAAACCCTCCCAGACTCTGCCCTGTGTGTCTCTTCCTTAGGCTGATTTTAATCTGTGTTCTTTCCCTGTGATAAGCCACATCATGAAATAGCAGTTTTTAGTGAGTTATATGAATCCTTCTAGTGAATTATAAAATCTAAAGATGGTTTTAGGAATCCCCATTAATTTGCAGGTGGTGTCAAAGGTAAGGTGCCCTCAGACATTGCAGTCTGGCTGCCTCTGAGTACTTTGAATTCAAATAAAACCAAACCTCAGAGAGACAGGAGATCACTTTGCCTGGCATGTGCCCCCTTCCAATGCCTCATGACCTTTCACTTTCTGGCTGAAGGCTACTGGGTCCAGGAACTGCCCCAGTTGACTGGAGTGGGAGATCTGGGTATTCCTTCTGGCTCCTCATGGACTCTCCAGTCACCTTACCACCTCCTGACCTACCCCCTGCACCCCCAACCTTCCAGGTCTCACTCGCAGATGTCACCAGCCTGACTGATGCCTTAGCAGTGACAGCTTCACCTGTGCGCACGCCAAGGCCGTGTGCAATTTTATGGCACCTCTAGAAGACTCAGGACACTTTCAGAACCATCTATATAAATTGCTAATGCTGAAAAGACCTGAATTTGGACAAGATGTTAGAAGAAGTGTTTTCCTTCTTGGTTGGGGACTTGTCAGTCTACTCAGTACCCTTGAAATTACATAAATTGGCAGTAACTCATTCTACTATGGAGATGGTCACTAAGTCATACTGCTTGCCATTGTCAGGGGCTTCTTTGTGTAGAAGAGAAGAAGATCCCAAAGGGTATCCCAGAACTTGCCAGTTCCAAGGCAGGGTGTGAGAGACACAGGCAACCATGACCGTCTATGTCCATGAGTGTTGGGATCATCCCGACAGAGAAGAAATATTCCTCTCCCACTCACATGTCCTCTGCAAGTTCATGACCTCCTTAAGTTTCAAGCCCTTGGTGCCTCTCTTGCCACACCCTAGTCCCAGCCCTGGTGCTCCAGCCTTCCTACTTGTCCTACAAAAACAAGGTTGACTCTTGCTCCATCCTGACCCCAGGCTCTGACACTGGTCCTGGTCTCTCTTGGCCTTTGGGCAGGATCTTGGTCTTGGTTCCCCACATTTGACCTGGAGTTCACTCTAAGGCCTTCCCCACACTCCTATGACATTGACTTGCTATTTCTATTGGATAGATGACAGTTCCCAGTCTCCATGACATAAGCTTAGAGCCCAGGGACAAGGCACAGACAGAGCTGGGAGGAAACCCAGTGCTGTCCAAGTCCACTCCAGCCTCTCAGCATCCTGGACCAGCAGAAGGGTCCTGCTGTGTTTATGGAATTCCTCAGATGAGAAGAAATGGTCCCAGCCAGCATCCCCAGGAACACGCATTGGTTAGGTCAGGATTTTTCTGACTTGTCCCAAAGGAAGTCCTGCTGGGCTCCCATCTTCAAGAAGAAGACCCTTAACCCTGGTCTATTTTCACTAAGGTTGTTAGATGTTAACGTTAACTGTGCACCTACTATGTGTCAGTCATTATGCTAAGCACTTTACATGCATGCTCTCATTTTTCTCACAATCAAACTCCATGGATGAAGAAAGGCTGAAAGTGAGAAAGTAACTTGCAAAGTTCCCATCACCAGCAGATGGCAGAAGTAACCCTGTCCTAGTGGGCTTCCTGTCCCCTCAGCCTGAGGCTACACTCACTACCAGCAAAGGACATGGAGGAAATACTCTTCCTGGACTGCTGAAAAGGTCATCCTCAAGCCCAGCAGAGGGGCCTGCCTGGAGGAGGTGTGCATATCAGGGAAAACTAGCCCAAGGGAGATCTGGGTGGCATCACCCGGGTTCCCCACGGAGGTAAGCCAGTGGAGGTTACCTGGACAGTCCAGCAGCAACCAGGAATTCGTTCCAGGCTCTACCGTCAGTCAGCAGTTGTAGCAGATTCTCTCTGCTCACTCGGTCTTGGAAATACTTAAGGGAATCCTCAATAAAGGTGCTACTCTCTAGTTGGAAAGAAGAAAGGATAAGGTTGGAGAAAAGTGTAGGGGAGCGTAACAACCATTGTGTGTAAGTTGGTAACATGTTAATTTTTCCTGCACAGCTGTGAAGTGGGACATCTTTGATGAAGTCATCAGTGCTATAGAGGGATTGTGGGCCCCCAAAATTCATATACTGAAGCCCTAAACTCGAGTGCCTATATTTGGAGATTGGGCCTTTAAGGAAACATTTAAGACTGAATGAGATCACAAAGGTAGGGCTCTAATCCTATTAGAGGGCTAGTGTTCTATTGTAAGAAGAGAAAGATACACAAGAAGACCAGGTGAGCACACAGCACAAAGGCAGCCTCCTCAAGCTAGCAAGAGAGCCCTCCCCAGACTCCAACCCCTTAATTTAGTAAACCATTAAAGACAGAAACCCCAAACCCCACTGTGTCCGACTGGCTCTTCTGAGTCCGCCTGCACTCCCACCCCTAAGCCTGTGCTTCCGCTTTGCAATAAAAACTGATGTGCTTTTTCTTTGACTCAAATTGTTTCTCTCAAAGGAGTCAAAAACCAGGACAAGGCTAAGGTCTGGTCTCACGTGGATTCGGAGACTTTCGTAAACCCACCGGCACCAATGTGACCAGGAATTTTCCAAAAAGGTAAACCAAAACAGGCAATTTTGTAACTGCAACCAAATAATATCCTTATTGCAGTTTCATATTCACCTGATCATCATTGTCTTCCACATTTTTTCACCAGAGCACGAAGCCTCCTCCAGTTTGGTTTTCTCAATTCATGAATTCTTACTCAAATAAATGTTACTGTGCCTCAGATTTTTCTTTGACAAGGGGTATCTGAGATCATGGGAATGAGGCCCTGCCCAGGGCAGTCATCCCTGGTCAGCAGGTGCTTGTGATGGGCAGGGCAGGGCAGCTGCCCTAACATAGCTTGGCGGACTGGGTGGCTTCCACCTGGAATCAACAGGGACAGGTAGAGGTGATGGAAACTAACCCTTAGAGAGGCCCTACTGTGTGGCAGGCTCTGGCCAGGCCAGGTACCCTTGTAATATTTGATCCCCATGAAAACGTAGGGAAACATTATTCTCATGCAGAAGAGGGGAGCTAAGGAGCGCCAGGTCACACAGAAGAGATGTGGCAAAGGCCAGACCGAGGTCCAGTCAAGTTGGAAGCTGGGTCAAGCACGATACATTCTCACAAGGCCACTCGGAACAGAGGGGCTGGTGCAGAGCGAGAGGTGGAGGGAGGGGACCAGCCTCTGCTGGAAACAACCCAGGGTCAGCCAGGAGCAGAGTGGGAGGTGAGAGATCAGGGCAACAGGTCAACCTCCTCTCCCACCCCTCCCCTCCTCCTGGACCCTGCTCTTCCCCCATTCCCCTCCCCTGCTGGTTCCACTTCCTCATGGCTGTCCTGCCCCACTTGAGTCATTTGGTAGGTGCCACGGTAGGGAGGAAGTTGGCACCTGGGCCATGCCCTCCTGAGGAGAAGTCAGGACACAGATGCCCCCAGAGACCCCTGAGTCCGGGGACTCCACGTGACCTCTCTTGAGCTCAGGGCAGACTCATCGGCCTCCTTCTCCATCTGGGTTCCTCTGGGGCTCACTCAGCTGTGGAGGCACCACCCTCCATTCTAGGTGCATGTAGGAACCAGCCAGGGAAGAGGGAGTGAGCCTACCTGGGTTCATGGTGCCAGCAGCCGGGTTACCAAGGGGCTTTCCTTGGAGCTCTCTAGTCACTGTTCAGACTGGAAGGTTTTTCTTAACCCTAGAGGAGGAGAAAACAAATTGTGGGATCGAACATAAGCCACCTCTGTGCAGAGGGAGGCTGGAGGGGCTGGGTCTTTGTAGATCCCTCTGTGGTAGTAGCAAATGTCCAAAGTGTTTCTCTATCTCCTGGGGCCCTGCCAGCTAATGTTTACAAAAACTCCCCTCGTTCCAGCTCCCTCTGCCCTCACTCTCACACCAAGGCAGGGTCCTCTTGTCCTGTTGGGGTATGAGGAGAAGATAATCCGAGAAGGGGCAGCCATCTGATCCTTACAGAAACTATGGAGTCCATACACAGGAATAGAGATGGGGAGGAAGGTTCTGACAATGACCTGGGCCTGGGAACGTGTGTGATAACTGGTTGATGATAGCCAGTGTGTATTGAGTGTCTGTGATGTGCAGGGCTCCTTACATGTGTCTCATTCGATGATCACACACAGCCCGGGAGATGGGTATCACCTTCTCTTTCAAACACAGAGGAATCCACAAAAGTTAGGGAACCTGCCCGTGTTTTCACAATAGTGCTAGAGCCAGGACTTCTGCTTCAACCCCATGTCTTCAATGACTGTGCTCTACTCCCTTCAATATACAATACTCAGTCATGTGTACACGCTCATGGGAAATGACTCCTCATTGCAAATCCGTGTCTCACACTCTGTGCTCAACTCTTCGTCTTGGTGAATTCACTGCTGCTGCAGCGGACAGCCTGTGTCCCCATCGCTTCTCTAAGGTCCTCTGTCGCACAAAGACCTGGATCCTGCCAGATGCCGGCGCAGCCCTTGCTGTGGCTGCCGAGCCCTCCTGGTGCTGTCCTGTCCCCTCTGCTGTCCTCCCTGGCTGATGGACCTTAGGGTGCTTCTAATTCTTCATATAAATTATGCTACAATGAATATCCTCCTTCATATAAAACTGCCCACATTTGAGATTATTTCCTTTAGATATTTGTAGGAGTAGAATGACTAGCTCAGAAGCTATTAACGTCTCAAAAGTTTTTCTACCTAGAGCCACTCTGTATGCAAATTGCACCAATTCACACTCAAACTAGCAGTACATGAAGATGCCCATTCTTTCAGTCTTCCTGGCTCTCAGTAGTCTTTTCTTTAAGAAAAACAAAACAAAACAAAAACACACCTTTATTCTTTGAGACAAGGTCTTGCCCCTGGTGTGTAGCCCAGGGCAGAGAGAGCTGGGGCCTCGGACACGCCCGATACTTGTGAGGAGCTGCACCCAGGATCCCATCCTCCTTGGTCATTGTTGGCCTGGCTCCCACCCCTGTCTGGAGCCTCTGCTGGGCGGTCGAGGCCAGATACTGCCCCTCAGGCTGGACTAGGACACAGTGTGTACTCCATGGGTGAGCCTGCAGGTTGGTCAATTCCGGGAAGGGATTTTGTTCCTGGAAGACACCCCGATGGCGCCTGGCCCAGCCCAAGCCCTGCCCAACTGAGAGACCTGGAAGGGGAGCCCTCCCTCCCACCTCAGCTCTGAGCCAAGCTCTCCAGTTGCAGAGGACAGAGATTCTCAGCAGAGCATCTCCCTCCAAGTGGGTGTAGGGCATCCTCCTTGGGCAGGGAGAGAGGAGTCGAAATGATTTCCTGAGAAATTGCCATTTTCCGTTTTAGTTTTGAGAAACTGTCTTGCTCCATCACCCAGGCTGGAGAGCTTTAGGGCTATCATAGCTCACTGCAGCCTAGAGCCCCTGGGCTCAAGTGATCCTCCTGCCTCAGTCTTCCGAGTAGCTGGGACTACAGGCACCCACCACCACGCAGGACTAATTTGTTAATTTTTAATTTCAGAGAGACAGCATCTCCTGTGTTGCCCAGGCTGTCTTGAACTCCTGGCCTCAGGTGATCCTCCCACCTCTGCGTCCCACAGCACTGGATTACAGACCTCAGCCGTGGCACTGCACCCTTCTGAGGATCTTCGATGAAAAGCCAGGGTCAAGTTCAAACCCCGTAGCGGGGCACACAGGCCCTCTGATGCTCTGGCTCCCACCTTCCTCACTGTTAGGCCGGAATCTAGACCCAACATGGCGGTATCACCCGGCATGGCAGGCCCTTTGTTAGGACTTCCCACCCTTCACTTCCTGCTAAGACTCTCAGCGCGTGAAAAAAGCCCACGCCCGCCAAAGAACCCTCGCTCTGCGCAAGCTCCTGGACAGGTCATTCCCCAGAAATCAAAACCTAACTCAGGAAAACCAAAATCTACAAACCCCACCTACCTCGCCCTGTAAAAGGCCCCTGATACCTTGGCCCTCCCCCTAGAGGACCGGTGAACCTCGCCTGCGAGCCCAGTAAAGGCTACCTATGTTCTCATCTGCCTCGGGTCTCCTTGCTCGGCTCCCCATTTACATTACACTCACCACTCCCTGTCGCCACAGTCACCTTGGGTCCAGGCACCCACTGACGCCCTGCTTCAATGCCTCCTGGACCCATCTACTCCTCCCATCCCCAGCCTCAGGCCTTCGCTCAGCTGCTCCCTCGCCCTGGAATGCCTCCCCCACTGTCCCCACCATGCACAAGTCACCCGTCCTCAGAGACCCAACCAAAGCTACCTGGTCCCTGTGCCATCCCCCAATCCTCCTCAGGCTCCCTGAGCACTCTGCTTTCCGGAGGCAGCTCTACCTGTGTGTGGCTCTTTGGGCCTCTGTCTCCCCTTTAGACTGAGCTTCCAACGGGGACCCTGTTGTGTTCCCAGCTGCATCCCCTATGACTGACTGGGATGCCCTCCACCCTCCCTGGCACAGCCTGGAGGAAATACCAGGTGCAGGAGGCATTACTTGAACTAAAAGTAGTCAGCCTTTGGATGACATGGCCCAGCTTCGGTTTCACTTTCAGCTGAGGAATTGAATTTAATTTTTCTTTCTATCTTGATGGGCATCTCTTTTTGGTGAAGAACAAATAAGACCATGGCTCAGATTTCACAGAAATTTCCCCCCGATTTCATGTATTTTGGCAGCTCTATCAGGTTTTCAAGAGGGGAAAATCTTAGGCTGGCAGAGGAGGTGACTTTCCCAGAGTCACACAGCTCTTGGAGGGTGGACGAGAGGCCAACATCTGCCCTTGTGACTCTGATACTGAAGCAAAAAGGAGTGATTTCAATAATCCAAAAGTTTCCAGGCTTGATTCTGCTTCTACAAACACAGAGATCTAAGCTGTCACTCCTGTAGTTATACTCACAATTCCAGTGTGGTTTTTGAATCTCATGATTGCAAAGCTGGCATCATGCCACAGACACCATTCTACAATGCGACCTTCTCACTTCCCCTGTCTCAGCCATGTTTCCCATTAGGGACACAGCACAACCTGTTTCTTCTCCATCCCCCCAGAGGTCTGAACAGAAGGACAGAGGTGAGGGCCAGAGACATGAAGTCCTATGAGCCACCTGCTCAGCCTCCTGACATGGGACCCTCAGCAAGTCCCCTCCCAGGGCCTCAGTTTCCCCACAGGGCCTGCCACAAGTAGGTGTTCCGACTCAGGGTGGGTGAGACAACCTCTGGGTTCCTTGTTATATCAAAAGAAATATATTGTCCCCATTGGGCCTCAGCAGCAGCATCCTCTGGCCAGCCTGGGTGTGGCCAGGCCACAAAGACACCCCAGGCTCCGGGTCACCTCCCCTCCTCCACCTTCTTTGATTCCTTCAAATTTCCCAAAGAGATGGGCACCTCCAACACCCACCTTTCTTCTGGGGTCACCTGGCCATGTCTCAGGCAGTCAGAACCAGAGCTTAGCCCAGGGAGCTTTGTGAACCCATCTGAGCTGCTTTTCCCACCTCTCTTTAAGGGCACAGCAGGAGGGAGGGAGCAATCAGACTCAAGCCTGGGTGCAAATCCAGGCTCTGCCACTGCTTTCCTGTCTGATCTGAGCCAGTTACC